CTACTTAAATCAATGGGTTTACTGTTTGTTTCACAGAATCCCGTGGAAGTCCCCAAGAGAGACTATAGTGTGTTACCTCTTCTAGCTGCCCCACCACAAGTGGGAGAAAGAATTGCCTTTAAGGTAAAGAACTTGTGCAATACTGAATGTTAGCGGGCTAAAATTGTTTCATTTGGGCCACTGTAAGTTTTGCAGGACACGCTACAGATAGCATAGTCCTGACAACCAAAAGCTTACAGTGAAGAACTTAATCTTAGGTTGCTCTGGGACCATTAACCAAGAAGTATAAGAGTTAGGAAGTAGTCTTCATCCTACTTATTTGTTCTTTTTTAAAAATTTTGTTTTAAACTTAAGCAGATGGTTCAGCACCTAAACTGTCTTGTGTCTAATGTTTGTAGGCATCTCTGAAAGCGTTCACTCCTCTCTTGCTGTCTTTCTAACCTAATCGTTTCCCATACAACAGAAACTGTTACAGAATCTGTTGCTAGCTCTAAAAAATTCTTTTGTTGTAAAGTCTGACTTTGATTTTTACAAAGGTTTGGAGCACGTGCATAAGTTCAATACATTTCTTTAGACTTCCTATATTTGTATAACACAAAGAAATGTTGTCTCCGTTGTCATTTCAGTGTGAATTTCCATGTACGTGTGTACAATGACTCTCTTAGCTAGCACACAAGTCAGTTCACAAATAACAGAATTTTCTGGTGGCATCTTCACAAGTATGTTAACTCTCTATTTCCAACATGCAAGGAAAGTCAGCATTAAAATTAGATGCTATAAAAAGAAAAAAAAATCTCTATGTTGTTATTTCTCTCTATAGTGTTTCTACAGTATTATTGCAAATCTTACCATACAGATAATTACACTTCACTGCACAGTACAAAAATAAATGAAAATCACTGCAGTTAAGGAGACTGGGATCCATCTTCCTGATCTCCTCTCACAGCCTGACCTGAACGTAAATCCTTTGGAGCAGTGAGTCCTGGAGGACTACCTGGGACTGTGACAGGTGTCGGGATCCAGGAGTGGGAGACCTGGTTCTTGCACTTGCCTCTTGCAGAAGAAACCATGTCGGGGTATAGGTGGCATCATCAAGGATCAGGAAAAATTGTAATTTGTTATTTGTATTTCTTTCAACAGCGCTTGGAACTAACTGAAAATTACAGTCCTGAAGTTTCAGACTATAAGGTACTGTTTTTCTTTCCTCCCTTAATTCACTCACAAAACTATAATAGCTGAGGTAAGGCTTAAATACTTTGAGGTTGTGCAGTATTTTTCTTCTTTTCCACTTGACTCCACAGGCTATTCTAAAAATGAAAACTCTAGAACTCAAAACTAATTGAAAATTTGAAAGGTGTAGCAGTATTAAAAAAAAAAAAAAAACACATTCAAGCATTATTAATGATCATTAATATTTTAGAGATGACAAAAAATGCAGACCTTCAAGTAGAAAAATGTAGCTGTATTCAGGTCTACTGCTGTTTGAAGTCAAGGCAAATTCTTGAAACTGGTGCAAGTAAAATTTTGTAGCTACTTCAAATAACTTGGTTTCTGGATAAGTACTAATTTAAACTACAAGGACGGTGAGAATGAACAACTTCGGTTTACTGATGCCAGTAACTGCAGATTGCTGAGCTTTAATACTTTTCAGATTTTATAGACGGAGAAACATTTGACAGATATACTTTCTCTAACTGTGAGCAAGTACCATGGTGGTTGTAATATGGAATAGTTATCCAGTGCTGAAGTGTATCTTGCCTGATTCTTTTCTTGTTGCTTTATGAAGGAGGGGAAAATAATCAGTTGGAATGCTGATAAAAAACAGATCGAGCTTGAGATCCTTTCATCGTCAGCAGGACAATGTACGTACCCTGGGACCCCAGATGCTTGTTGTCGTGTCCAACACTTGGAAGACAGCTAGTCCGAGGCACACTTCATGTTTCAGTATTTCCAGTTTCCTCGGGTTCCTTCTCAACACACCCCTGCCCTCCTCACTCCCTCCCCTCAAAGTCTATTTAAACAGAGACATTCTAACACTTGCTAGTTGTATTTACAAAATAAAATTTGTCCAGTCAGTATGAGGAGTCAGTAACTCATCTCTACTGTGGTTTCATTTCCTGAAAAAAATAAAATTATTACATGGACTTACAGAGAAAATTTTGGATCATAATGCCATTCTTTGTGACGTCAGTGAAGCCACTGTCTTCAGTGGATGTGGAACTGAGTCCCTGCGATGACAAAGTGCACTTCAGACACCTGAAACTTTGAATCTCTGAAACCGAATGTGTATACTGCAGTTGCCATTTAAGCCCGAATTAATGAATCATCATCATATGAGCATTTTTCTCAAATTTAGGCAGCATATTGTTGATTAACTTTTTCAGGCATATAGTTATATTAGATAATTACCTTAATTCTGGTGTGTAGTATTCAGTTCTACCTCAGATTTTTTGTTACAGTTATGAACCCAAACACCCAACTCAAAAAAAAAAAAAAAACCAACAACCCAAAAACCTGGTTTTGACTAGCTTTCTAAATATGGTAAACATTTAAACCTTTTTGTTTATGGTTAATGGAGTTTGTTTGTTTGTTTTTAAGTTGCTAAAGAGCCAGGGAAATTCGACCTGGTTTACCAGTCTGCAGATGGAGCAGAACTGATAGAGTACGCTGTTCCTCAGGATACAAAGGTATGTGGATGTCCTCTTTTGAAGCCTGTCACGCGTTTTGCATAGCTGATACATGTTCTGCTTTATGACTCCATTGATCTCAGTGAGATTCCCTTTATAATAATGCATCTGATTAAAATAAATGAAAGCAAAAATAAGAGTTCCTTTCTAGCAAGAATGTGCATGATTACAAGAATCACTTCTTGCATGTTACTCAGTTAACTAGATGCAAAAACAGTCATCGAACTGTGTAACTTTTTGTTTTGGCTAATAAAATAAACAATATCTTGTCTAGATAGCGTATCGGTTCTTACAAGGTTATTCATGCCATGCACTGTTTTTCTTAGCTGCATCTTTCCTTACGCAGGATGTCAGGCAGGCTGAGGGTCATTAAGAAGATGGATGAATCACAGCAAGGATCTGTGATCTTTGTTCAGTAGTGCTGTTCAAGTCTAAACAAAGCATAACGTAAGAGAAATTGCATCTGCCGGTATAGCTTGTACATGCTAAGTATTGTCTCTGTTTTGTTTTCAGATAACTGAAAGTTGGGATGCACTGATAGAGCCAAGGCTGATTGTTGAGCCTCCAGTTAATGGCTCCAGCATTGAAAATGGAACAATCTAAGATGCGAACACATGTAAATAATAGTACGGACTTGTTTTGTGAAATGCTGCCTTCTGGTTTCGAGGGCAGCAGGTGCACTGGTGGATATTTTTAATAAATGGTTTTAAAAAGAAACTATGCCAAAAGAAAAAGGAACACTTTTTTCTTAGTATATGTTTCTATGTAATGTAGGAATACTTTGTTTATTATAGGAAGTCTTTAATATAGATCTGTGGTTTTGTTTTTTTAATAGAAGCTTAATAACGGTTTTTATATCCTACTGCTGCGAGCTGCAGAACTGGAATGGTTTGATCAAAAAGATAAAATACGACCTTGTACTGTCAGTAACTCCATGTAAATGTCTGGGTTTGGCTCGAGCCGTGTAACTGCCATACAGAGGTAGCTTGCTGTAAGGGTAATTAAAAACAACATTTAAAAATTAAATATAAATATTGTTGAAGTGCACATCTCTTCCTGTACAGCTGCAGAGCATGATACAAATGCCATGACCCTGCAGTTATTTACAGGGTACACCTGAACGCATCAAGAAAAGCTTGTGGATTTCAAGCTCCTGTAATTTTGAGAGGCAGGTGAATAGTATTGGTCACTGTCAGCTTTGCCTAGAATGAGTGGAACGTAACATCAATCCCTGGCAAATTGTGTCCCAGTGTGTTAACCTGTGTAGGTTCTGAAAATCTGTTCGTTTGTTTGTTTTACAGCAAACCCTTTTGCCCTTTAAGTGCTGAAATTTCACTGCTGACTTCCTTCCTTCCTTCCTTCCTTCCTTCCTTCCTTCCTTCCCAATAGCAGAATGGGTCACCAGGTGGTGGCAGTGCGCTTCACTGACATCTCTGCTAATTATTAGCATCGAGGTAGCACCTTGTACCCATGGAGTACTTGCATCTTGGCAAGTCTTACAATTTAAAATAATCTCTGTCCTAGGTAGTGACTCTTAAACAGAAGACATGAAAAAAAAAAAAGCCCTAGATAAAAAACACCTGAAAAATTGTACATCATGCTTTAGCTAACATGTACTCTGCCTACTGCATGATTACTTAAAAATATTGCAGACCTTTGCATTATCCCTATTAAAATGTCTCGTTTGTGAAGGACTCATTTTCCTATGAGTAAAACTAATTTGTGTATTGTGGTTCTCTTTAGTTGCCATATAATATCTGTTTTTTTAGAGAATTGGATCGCTGGATTCATGCACGGATATTCTTGCAAACTGGACAAAAAGACAATTCCAGACACTCTAGCATAGTCATGCCGAGACAGCTGGGATTAATGGAAAAATTTTTTTTTCTAAAGGAATTTGTTAATTTTGAATTCTTGTAAAACTGCAAAAGCTAACCACAGGTATTTCATAGCCTTTTAGAGCAGGATTCGCCTCTTGTTCCGTTGCCTACTGTGCATTTTGGCTGCAAATGAAATGGGTACAGAATCCCTCTGGCTGTGACGAACAAATCATGGTTGAAAACAAATACACCCCAGAGAGGGGATGTTTTGAAGATAAAATCTTGAGTTTTACTTACCCATTGTTATCAAGTTTGGGTGAAATTACTGTTCCAATGCACAATTCAAGTAAATGCAGTGGGAGGGAGCTGGCTGACTGCCCTTCCCATCACACCCGTACACCACCTCTGACAGAGCCACGCACGGGTTCCTCATTCCTGGGGAGCCGGGGCAGGGCTGGGGCGCTAAAAGGGCGAGAAACGCGGAACGGGCAGAATGCGCACGGGAATCCCCGAGGGAGCTGGCGCTGCTCTGAACAAACCCTTTTTGCTTGCTTTCTGTCCCTGGCGTTTTGGGGGCTCCTGCAAGCCCCTTTGCTGCCAGTCACGGGGGCCCCTTGCCACCCTCCTCTATGCAATTTGGCATTACCGGTTTGTTTAAAGATTCTGTTACAGTTTTTTAACAAATTCTAGTCTCGTGACTCAGAACGTGAGGATGTGTTTGAGCTAGCAAGCTACAGTCACACACGCACAACACGCTATAGGCTTGCAGACACGAAAAGCACCTGCAGCTAGAGGCTGGGGGGCCA